ATACTGACAAACTGCCATCTGGTCTGCTAACCAGAAAACCAAGATATAGAAGAAGAAGATCTACAACTTCTCTGATGAAGGCCAATGACTTGTCATGGTCTTTTGGGGTCTGTGCTGCCAGGTCACTACAATAACCAATAAACATATCTTTTTTGGCATTTACGGTCTATCGCTGATGATGGTAACGCTGGAAAAAAAGTGTGGTAATGAACTAAGAATAATAAATAATAAGAAATAATAATAATAATGAGAGGAAAAGAAATAAAAGCAAGAGTTTAAGTTTAGTTTATGTGAAAGGTCCTGATTTCATAATAACAGTATTTATTGCTGATGAAAAGGAAGTTGTTCAAAAAGATCTTATCATTTTTTTCTGAAGAAGGGTCCTGACCCAAAATGTCAATTTTCCTGCTCCTCTGATGCTGCCTGGCCTGCTGTGTTCCTCCAGCTCCACACTGTGTTCCTCCAGCTCCACACTGTGTTATCACTGACTCCAACATCTGCAGTTCTTACTATCTCTTATGATTTCTGTAGTTTAAGATTTCCCCTTTGCTATGATTTTGCCTTCAGCAAGGTAATTTACCTGATGTAGCAATGCTTGTACTGTCTCCTGTAATATATGAACCTGGGCATACATATCGTGGTATAGAAGAATCCAACAGATAACCATTACAAGTAACTATGAAAATTCAAACATTACATTCCTCAGGTAACTAAGTGGTGAACATTAAGTTAATAAGTTACCACACAGGAGCCTGCTTCCAGCACAGTGTCATGTTTCAAGTGATTCCCAGGGTATGATGGCATGTGAGATCTTTATACTCCCAGGTCACAAGCTGTGAAACGATGATGTTATCATAATCATACTAACATTTGCCAAAGCAGTCATGGAAAGGATGTTTCCTCAGGTGGGGCAATCTAGAATGAGAGGCCATAGTTTTAGGATAAGGGATTTAGGAGATTTAAAACAGAGATGAAGAAAAATAACCTCTCTGTGGAATTCAATACCCTAGTGGAAATTGAGTGAACTAAAAAAGGAGATAGACAAATTTTTATCAGTAATGATTGAACGGAATGGGGAGTGGGCAGGCTAGTGGAATTGAGGTTATGGTGAGATCAGCCATGATTATATTAAATGACAAAGCAGGCGGAAGGAGCTGAATTGCCTACTCCTGCTTCTTTTGTTATGTCCTAAAATAAAACAAAGAACAGTGGATGCTGGAGGTCTGAAACAAAAACAAAAATTATTGGTGAAACTCAAAAGGCTTGGCAGCATCTTTGGGGAGAAAGCAGAGATGACGATTTCAGCCTAGTGTCCAATGAGGAGTCATCAACTATACTCGAAATGTTAACTCTGTTTTCTCCACGCAGATGCTGCCAGACCCACATAGTTGCCAGCAATTTCTGCTTTTGTTTCTTATGTTTTTATGTCTCTTAAAGATAAAATGGCCATGAGTCACAAACACCCTTTACCTATATCATTTGGAGTATGATGCCAGACGAGGAATTCTCTAGGTATCCACCAATCACATTATTAAGTAGGCCAAACAACAAATGACAGTGAAGTATTTTCACTGACAGGAAAGCAAGGGCTAAAATCTGATCTTTAAAAACTTAATTAAATATTTTCAGGGAGAAAAATATATGATTGAGACTTAGACAGTGGATCAAAGTAGAGGATGAAATAAAAGAATTAGGAGCATAGGAAATAGTTACCGCAGTGGGCCAACAGTCCCTTGACCCTGCTCTGGTATTCAAATAGATCATGGCTAATCTGCTACTGACTGCCATTTTTCATATCCTATCTAGAAATCTATTATTCTTTTTCTTGAACACACGCAATGACTGAGTTTCCCCAGCCCTTTTGAATAGAAAATTCCAAAGGTTCATTACCTCTCAGTGAATAAATTCCTTCTCATCTCACACCTATTATTCTGTACTGTATCCTTTACTTCCATATGTCCAGCTAAGACAAAATATCCTTCCTACATTCAATCCGTGCAGTACTGTAGGAATTTTGCATGCTTCAATGATTTTTTTTATTCACTCACAGGTTGCGGGCAGTTCTGGCAGGTTCAGCACTTACTGCCCATCCCTAGTTGCCCTTGAGGAGGTGGTGGTGAGCTCACCTTCATTCTTCTCAACTCTAGAAACTATAGGCCCATTCTCATCATTCTCTCCTCATAGCTCAATGCTGTCATTACAGCGATCAGTCTGATGAATCTTTGATGCATGTCCTCTATGGCAGGTATGCTTTGGTAAGGAGCCCAAAACCGTACATAATACTCTTGCTGTTGGCTCGCCAATATGCTATACAATTACTATAAAACTTATTTTCTCCTATTGCAAGAAAATTTAAGTTTAAAAGCAAACACACAATTTGCCTTCCTAATTGCTTGCTGCACCTGAAGATTAGCTTTCAGTGACTTTTAAACAAGGACACCCAGGTCTTTTTGGACATCAATGTCTTATTCAAAGAAAAATTATTTCCCAAATATAAAATTAGTTCTTCAGGGCTAGTGAGATGGTTCAACAACAGCTATGAACTTGATGTGGCACTAAAAAGCAAGGTACACATGATTTAACAGTAACTTTTTGAGGGGATTTTAAACCAAGACTAATCATGAATGGAGTTTACTTAGTGAATTTTACTTGATTGCATTCTGGGTAGCCTTCAACAATAAACTCTATGAAGAAACGCAAAATCAGAGACAATAACCTTGGTTGCATTGTGAGACCATAAAGACATTTTATAAATGTGCATCACAAACTTGACAGAGGCAAATTTTGCAGTTACCATAGGAATTAAATATTGAAAATTATGGAATTTATTTACAACACAGAATTATTTGCTTAAGCATTGAGCAGAAATACCTGGATGCTTACAACTTATTCACTTACTTCTAAGATACTTAGTTTTAAAAATATAAAAGGGGAAGAGAACAAGGTGACTTTGGAAAATAGCAAGCAGAATAAAGTCTGCACGAAAGTTGTCATGGGGAGGAGGAAGTAGTAACAGCAATAGAGCCACAGAGCTGCATGGGCTCATGGAAAGAGGAGTAGCGAGGTGATCTTGTTAGAGAAACCGGGGAAAGGAAAAGATTTTAAAACAACTGACATTGGACCAGCTAAACTGGAACAACACCTGGAAGCCTCAATGCAAAAAGGACAAGGGAATGGGATGGGAGAATCAAGAGCAGTAGAAAGAAAAATATTACATTTAACATAGAAAAATACAGACAATTAACACTAAGTTAAAAATATATTGTGACTGATTGAGCAAATTTCACATATTTATCTCTACAAGAAATTATAACAATGGGATTTTCTATAATGCTAAAGAAAAATATTCCTTTAATATTCCATTTTATTCTTCAAAAGACTATAACATTTATCAATTAAAATTAATTAAAATTCAACTATGAAGCCTAAACAGGCTAAGTTTTCAAACTCAGGCTCTCAGAAGGTATTGCATGGAATTTCTGTTTATGGGTTAACAGATTTCTCTATTTGTTGACTTACTAGATCAATATTGCAGTTGCCATCCATCAATAAAAATGCTTTCTGAGCCAAGAGCTCCAATTCCCTTGGGAAGACAGATGTTATATTTTAGTCAACAAGGTGCAGGGCTGGATGAACACAGCAGACCAAGCAGCATCATAGGGGCAGAGAGGCTGACGTTTCGGGCCTAGACCCTTCATCAGAAAAGGGGGAGGGGAAGGGGGTTCTGAAATAAATAGGGAGAGAGTGGGAGGTGGATAGAAGATGGATAGAGGAGAGGATAGGTGGAGAGGAAACAAACAGGTCGAAGGGACGGGGATGGAGCCAGTAAAGGTGAGTGTAGGTGGGGAGTTAGGAAGGGGATAGGTCAGTCCAGGGAGGACAGACAGGTCAGGGGGGCGGGATGAGGTTGGTCGGTAGGAGATGGAGGTGCGGCTTGAGGTGGGAGGAGGGGATAGGTGGGAGGAAGAACAGGTTAGGGCGGCAGGGACGAGCTGGACTGGTTTTGGGATGCGGTCGGGGGAGAGGAGATTTTGAAACTTGTGAAATCCACATTGATACCATTGGGCTGCAGAGTTCCCAAGCGGAATATGAGTTGCTGTTCCTGCAACCTTCGGGTGGCATCGTTGTGGCACTGCAGGAGGCCCAGGATGGACATGTCGTCTGAGGAATGGGAGGGGGAGTTGAAATGGTTGGGGTAGCCATGGGTACCCGCATGGGCCCAAGCTACGCCTGCCTCTTTGTAGGTTACGTGGAACAATCCCTCTTCTGTACCTACACCGGGCCTAAACCCCACCTCTTCCTCCATTACATTGATGACTATATCGGCGCCGCCTCATGCTCCCATGAGGAGCTCGAACAGTTCATCCACTTCACTAACACCTTCCACCCCAACCTTAAGTTTACCTGGACCATCTCTAACACCTCTCTCCCCTTCCTGGACCTCTCTGTCTCCATATCGGGCAACCAC